CTCTTCTGCTCCTGCGGCAGTGTGGGGGGAAGGGGGAGGGGGAGGGTGAGGGGATGGAGTGGGTGACCAGCCAGCGCCAACCCGCCTCCTCTCTCTCCCTGCCGTCCCTCCTGTGGTCGGGGGGGGAGGAGAGTAAAGGGGTGGCAGGAGTACCTGCCCCCCCCCCTTTTGCTGTTGTACCTGCTCTGTTACCTTGTCTGTTGTTGCTGCTTTCTCTGCACTTGGTGTACCCCTGCAGGAGGTGTACTGCACACGGTTCTAGCTGTAGGCATTTAGGGGGTGTTTTGAAATGTATTCATATACATTTATAAATGCCTACATTAGAGTTTAGTGTAGTTATATAGTCTCCTGCTTGGTGGTGCACCATTTGCCCATTTCCTTGACTATATCTTGTATGCCTTCTATTATTCACTCATTCTCCTTTTCAACTCTCTCGTCACTCTCGCCTAGGTCAAACCCTAAGCCCCTCAACTACTATTTTGATAGTCAGCAGTGGTGGGCCCTAAGAAATCGGTCCTAGCGAAGGACCTGCTCTGTATACCATGTTAGAGAATGAATGATTGAATTGAGAGAGAAGTGAGTACAAGTACCTAAACCTAGAATTGTGTACCCCCTAAAGGCTAACCCACTGTAGCCTAAACAACTACAACATATATAATGTTTGACATGCGGAGCCTGGGGGTGCTGAGTCTAGGGGTGCTGAACCTGGGAGTGATGAGTCTGGGGGTGTTGAGCCTGGGGGTGCGGAGCCTGGGGGTGCTGGGTCTGCTCGTGTGGCCTCTGGCGGTGCTTCGTCGAGGCGGGAGCTACTCTCTCCGCAGGAGCTGCGCGAGTGGTTTGCCCGGCGCTAGAGCCGTGCTGCTGGTCCTAGAGGTGCTCGTACTGGCGGTATTGGAGCTGCTGGGACTGGGGGTGCTGCTGGGGCTGCTGGAGTTGGTCCTGCTGGAGGTACTGCTGGTGCTGCTGACGGTATTGGAGTTGACGGTCCTGCTGGAGCTTGAGCTGCTGGAGCTGGTGCTGCTGGGGGTGTTGGCGCTAGAGGTGCTACTGGCGCTGGTGCGTCTGAGGGTGCTGGAGTTGGCGCTGTAGGAGCTGGAGGTACTGCTGGCGCTGGTGCTGCCGCTGGGGGTACTGGTGCTGTCCCTACTGGTTCTGGAGGCGCTGTGCGGCCGCGGCCATACGTCGTTCCGCTCCTTCAGCAGGTTCTTGGTCTCTCGCCCTCTACAGGTACTGCTCCTCCCTTACAGTGTCCACAGCCTGTCCAGTCGCGGTCACAGTTACAGCCCGCCTCCCCCCTGCCTGCTCCTCCCTACACTGGTCCTACTGGAGGTCTTGCTGAGCTTCGTGAGCCTGCGTCTCGTCCTGCGTCGCCTGTTCGTGCTGCTCGCACTAGAAGTCGTGCTCCGCGTCCGCGTCCTCCTACGGTCCCAGGCACACACCAGATGGCACTGCGTCCTTCCACTGCTCCTCTGCGTGTCCTGTTGCCGTCTCCTCCAGAGTCCTCTCTTCCTGTCCTTGCTGACCCAAAGTCTGAATGTATTCGTGCTGCCAGTCCTACTGTGACGCGTCTCCTGGCTACTGTTGTCACTGACCCTTCCTTTGAGTCCACTGCTGCGTCTGCCTTGATCGCTGAACTTGTCGACTTTGATGCTCGTTGTCGTCTAGACTACGCTGCTAGTCTTATTGCTGAGTCTGAGTCTGTCTGTCCTCCGTCCGTCGGGGGTGGGTGTGCTCTTAGCACGGACGTCCTTGAGGACAGGCAGGCGGAGTTCCAATGTTTTGCTGCTGCTTTGCCTCATCTTGTGTCCACACTGATTGCCCCTGAGGGAGACCCGGATGCACCAGACATCCCGACTCCTCGATTGTACGCTGAGGTGATCGAGGGTCCCTACTCCTCATGGATGCAGAGATGGCTTCGTGGAAGTCCACAGGCACCTACGTCGACGAGGTTCCCCCACCTGGGGCGAACATCGTCAGTGGCATGTGGATTTTCAGGGTGAAGCGGCCGCCGGGTTCTCCGCCTGTCTTCAAGGCGCGTTACGTGGCTCGAGGCTTCAGTCAGCGGCACGGAGTTGACTACTTTCAGACCTTCTCTCCCACCCCAAAGATGACTACTCCTCGGGTGCTGCTGCACATAGCTGCTCAGCGCGACTACAAGCTTCACTCTCTTGACTTCAGCACTGCTTTCCTGCAGGGCAGCCTGCACGAGGAGATCTGGCTGCGCCTCCACCTGGCTTCACTGGGTCGTTTCCCCCTGGTACCCTGTGGAGCCTCCGGCGGCCAGTCTACGGTCTCCGCCAGGCGCCCCGTGAGTGGCACGATACACTGAGGGCTACACTTGTGGCTCTTGGGTTTGCTCCTTCTACTGCCGACCCGTCGCTATTTCTGCACACCGACACCTCTTTGTTGCCGTTCTACATCCTCGTGTACGTCGACGACTTGGTCTTTGCCACTGCTTACACTGCGGCACTCGCCCACGTGAAGTCAGAGTTGTAGAAGAGACACACGTGCACAGACCTGGGTGAACTGCGCAGCTATCTTGGCTTGCGGATCACCCGGGACAGAGCACAGCGCACCATCACCTTGACTCAGTCACACATGGTGCAGCAGGTCCTTCAGCGCTTCGACTTCACGTACTCCTCGCCTCAGGCCACTCCTCTGTCTAGTCGCCACTCGCTCTCAGCTCTGCCTTTGGATGAGTCTGTAGAGCCGAGTGGCCCGTACTCAGAGCTTATTGGCTGCCTCATGTACCTGATGACCTGCACACGACCTGACCTTGCATACCCTCTTAGCATCTTGGCACGCTATGTGGCTCCTTGGAGACACCGACCGGAGCACATGGCTGTAGCGAAGAGGGTGTTGCGCTACTTGTGCAGTGCGTCGGGCATGGGGCTAGTGCTTGGAGGGCGACGTTCAGTGGTCCTCATAGGTCACGCAGACGCTTCTTGGGCTGACGACCAGGCTACGCAGCAGTCGTCACAGGGTTACACCTTCAGCCTTGGTTCTGGCTTTGTTTCGTGGCGGTCTACCCGCTCATCTTCTGTTCTCGGCTCCAGCTGTGAGGCTAAGATCTACACGGGGGCCATGGCTGCACACGAGCTACGCTGGCTCACCTACCTGCTGACTGACCTAGGAGAGCCGCCTCGTTCTCCTCCAGTTCTGTACGTAGACAACAAGGCCATGCTGGCCTTGTGTCGGGAGCACAGACTGGAGCACAGAACGAAGCACATTGCTCTTCGCTACTTCCTGGCTCGTGAGCTGCAGCAGCGTGGTCAGCTCCGCCTCACCTACGTGGCCTCTGAGGCCAACACAGCTGATATCTTTACCAAGGCCCTTCCGCCTTGTGATCATCAGCGCTTATGTGCTATGCTAGGTCTTGTGCCTACTTGGCCTCACTTGCTCACTTCTTGACCTTGCTTGTACTGTGATCTTACTATACCTGCACTTGCTTGTTTACCTTTATATATGATCTTGCATGTGAACTGGCCTTGTGGCCTTGAGCTTGTGCTCGGACTGTATGGTGACGTTGTGATCCACCCTGAGCTTGCTTTGCTTTGCTTGACTGGTCTTGTGACCTCTTGTTCTCCCCCATTTTGCCTATGGGGGTGTGTCAAACTCATATGCTATAGTCTGTGTAGGCTGTAGTGGGGTAGACAATATGGGGTACAACACTTCTAGGCTTTCCTACTTGTACCCACCTGGTTGCTTGTTCATTTCATTTCCTCAATTCTCACACTGTCGTGTCGAAACACCAAGTTAGAAGCGAAGCGAAACATATCGAAGCATTAGCGAGTCAACCCTCGGAGGTTGAACAACTGCTGGAGGTTACGCGAAAGTCAAAGGTCAGCGACCTTTGACTTGACAAGTACAGCGCGACAACAAGGACAAACAACTGACTCGCTATTGAGCAGTTGCTCGAGTCGTCACTGTGTCGAACCTCAACAGCAATAGTAAAACGGTTATTAACTGTATCTCTTCGTATTCCTTGTACTCTTATAAAAGCTTGTATCCTTTTGTTTTAATCAATCTACTTTGCCCTCACATACCAGCGCAAGGTGGTTCACAAACTTCTCGTTAAACGCTTCCGCTATTACATTGTCCTACACAGAATTTAGTCCTATAAAGATCCTAAGGGCTTTTCTCAGCCCAACATAATTGAGTCAAATTTATAAGCTCAGGCGCTTATAAACTGACACATATATATTTAATGTTTTCTAACACCAAACTGTAGATCTCGTGCTCGCCTTTTTAATCGAGTCGAAGTTACATGGGGTCTTCAATGAAATTCTCGCGCGCGCTGGGAGATACACTCGATGTGACTCACAATGTGCCCCTGACAGCTCCTGGTTGTCAGAATATATTTGCTGTCTAGCCTGCAGTGGGGTACTCTGTAATGAGTACAACCCAATTTAGGGCAATGTACTTGTATCCCAACTCTTGCTAGTCACTTCACTTCCCTTCCAAATTTCTCGATACTCACCTAACCCACTCGAACTCACCTACCTCCTAGTGTGGGCCTAGGCTATTAAGCCTAGGCCCCACACCTACTTTTTCTCATGGTATCAGAGCAGGCAAGATCCTGCCGCCTACTTCCGCTGCCGTATTATCCGCCGCACGCCCCGTGGTGCGCGGCATTGCATTTTTATCCCGCCACGCGCTTCGAACGCGTGGCGGCTTTTTCTGCCCGCCGCGCACTCGGGGCGCGCGGCGGTTGTCCCGTCCTTCGGAGCGCCCTCGGGGGGGCCTGCGCGCTGCCCTCCCCGCTGCTCGTCACGGCGCCCACTGCGGGACCCGCGCGGCGTCGCCCTGCTCGTCGCGACGTCCGTGCGGGACCCGCGGGGCGTCGCCCCTGCTCGTCGCGACGCCCCCTGTGGGACCCGCGGGGCGTCGCCCCTGCTCGTCGCGACGCCCCCTGCGGGACCCGCGCGGCGTCGCCCTGCTCGTCGCGAGGTCCGTGCGGGACCCGCGGGGCGTCGCCCCTGCTCGTCGCGACGCCCCCTATGGGACCCGCGGGGCGTCGCCCCTGCTCGTCGCGATGCCCCCTGCGGGACCCGCGGGGCGCCGTCAGATCCTGCAGCAGCAGCTGCCGCCAGGCCTTCAGCAGCAAGCCGCCGCCAGGGTCTGCAGCAGCAGCCGCCGCCAGAGCCTGCAGCAGCAGCCGCCGCCAGGGTCTTCAGCAGCAGCCGCCGCCAGGGTCTGCAGCAGCAGCCGCCGCCAGACCTGCAGCAAACTGCCGCCACCGACCCAGCAGCAGCAGCCGCCGCTCTATCAGCAGCGGCAGCCGCCGCCGCTCTGCCGCAGCAGCTACCGCCCGCCCAGCTGCAGGTGCCGCCCCTGGACCCCAGAAGCCGCCCCTGGACCCGGTACGCCCTGTGCTGCCCGTGCCTGTGCTGCCCGTGCCTGTGCTGCCCGTGCCTGTTGCTACCCGTGCCTGTGCTGCCCGTGCCTGTTGCTGCCCGTGCCTGTGCTGCCCGTGCCTGTGCTGCCCGTGCCTGTTGCTGCCCGTGCCCGTGCTGCCCGTGCCTGTGGCTGCCCGTGCCTGTGCTGCCCGTGCCTGTTGCTGCCCGTGCCTGTGCTGCCCGTGCCTGTTGCTGCCCGTGCTTGTGCTGCCCGTGGCCTGTGCTGCCCGTGCCTGTGCTGCCCGTGCCTGTGCTGCCCGTGCCTGTTGCTGCCCGTGCCTGTGCTGCCCGTGCCTGTGCTGCCCGTGCCTGTGCTGCCCGTGCCTGTTGCTGCCCGTGCCTGTGCTGCCCGTGCCTGTTGCTGCCCGTGCCTGTGCTGCCCGTGCTGTGCTGGCCCCGTGGCCTTGTGCTTGCCCGTGCCTGTGCTGCCCGTGCCTGTGCTGCCGTGCCTGTGCTGCCCGTGCCTGTGCTGACCGTGCTTGTGCTGCCTGTGCCTGTTACTTGACCGTGCCTGTGCTGCCCGTGGCCTGTGCTGCCCGTGCCTATGCTGCCCGTAGCCTGTGCTGCCCGTGCCTGGGCTGCCCGTGCTGTGCCTGCCCGTGCTGGCTGCTGCCCGTGCCTGTGCTCCCGTGCCTGTTGCTGCCCGTGCCTGTGCTGCCCGTGCCTGTGCTGCCCGTAGCCTGTGCTGCCCGCGGCCTGTGCTGCCTGTGCCTGTTGCTACCCGTGGCCTGTGCTGCCCGTGCCTGTGCTGCCCGTGCCTGTGCTGCCCGTGCTTGTTGCTGCCCGTGCCTGTGCTGCCCGTGCCTGTGCTGCCCGTGCCTGTGCTGCCCGTGCCTGTTGCTGCCCGTGCCTGTGCGGCCCGTGCCTGTGCTGCCCGTTAGCCTGTGCTGCCCGTGGCTGTGCTGGCCGTGCCTGTGCTGCCCGTGCCTGTTGCTGCCCGTGCCTGTGCTGGCCCGTGCCTGTGCTGCCCGTGCCTGTGCTGCCCGTGCCTGTTGCTGCCCGTGCCTGTGCTGCCCGTGGCCTGTTGCTGCCCGTGCCCTGTGCTGCCCGTGCCTGTGCTGCCCGTGCCTGTGCTGCCCGTGCCTGTGCTGCCCGTGCCCTGTGCTGCCCGTGCCTGTGCTGCCCTGCCTGTGCTGCCCGTGCCTGTGCTGCCCGTGCCTGTGCTGCCCGTGCCTGTGCTGCTGTGCCTGTTACTGCCCGTGCCTGTGCTGCCCGTGCCTGTGCTGCCCGTGCCTGTTGCTGCCGTGCCTGTGCCTGCCCGTGCCTGTGCTGCACGTGCCTGTGCTGCCCCGTAGCCTGTGCTGCCCGTGCCTGTGCTGCCCGTGCCTGTGCTGCCCGTGCTTGTTGCTGCCCGTGCCTGTGCTGCCCGTGCCTGTGCTGCCCGTGCCTGTGCTGCCCGTGCCTGTTGCTGCCCGTGCCTGTGCTGCCGTGCCTGTGCTGCCCGTGCCTGTGCTGCCCGTGCCTGTGCTGCCTTGTGCCTGTGCTCTGCCCGTGCCTGTGCTGCCCGTGCCTGTGCTGCCCGTGCCTATGCTGCCCGTGCCTGTGGCTGCCCGTGCCTGTGCTGCCCGTGCCTGTGGCTGCCCGTGCCTGTTGCTGCCCGTGCCTGTGCTGCCCGTGCCTGTGCTGCCCGCCTGTGCGGCCCGCTGCCTGTGCTGCCTGTGCCTGTTGCTGCCCGTGCCTGTGCTGCCGTGCCTGTGCTGCCCGTGCCTGTGCTGCCCGTGCCTGTTGCTGCCCGTGCCTGTGCTGCCCGTGCCTGTGCTGCCCGTGCCTGTGCTGCCCGTGCCTGTTGCTGCCCGTGCCTGTGCTGCCCGTGCCTGTTGCTGCCCGTGCCTGTGCTGCCCGTGCCTGTGCTGCCCGTGCCTGTGCTGGCCGTGCCTGTGCTGTGCCGTGCCTGTTGCTGCCCGTGCCTGTGCTGCCGTGCCTGTGCTGCCCGTGCCTGTGCTGCCCGTGCCTGTTGCTGCCCGTGCCTGTGCTGCCCGTGCCTGTGCTGCCCGTGCCTGTGCTGCCGTGCCTGTGCTGCCCGTGCCTGTGCTGCCCGTGCCTGTGCTGCCCGTGCCTGTGCTGCCCGTGCCTGTGCTGCCCGTGCCTGTGCTGCCTGTGCCTGTTACTGCCCGTGCCTTGTTGCTGGCCCGTGCCTGTGCTGCCCGTGCCTGTTGCTGCCCGTGCCTGTGCTGCCCGTGCCTGTGCTGCCGTGCCTGTGCTGCCCGTGCCTGTGCTGCCCGTTGCCTGTGCTGCCCGTGCTGTGCCTGTGCTGCTGCCGTGCTTGTGCTGCCCGTGCTGTGCTGCCCGTGCCTGTGCTGCCCGTGCCTGTGCTGCCCGTGCCTGTGCTGCCCGTGCCTGTGCTGCCGTGCCTGTGCTGCCGTGCCTGTGCTGCCCGTGCCTGTGCTGCCTGTGCCTGTTACTGCCGTGCCTGTGCTGCCCGTGCCTGTGCTGCCCCGTGCCTATGCTGGCTGCCCGTGCCTGTGCTGCCCGTGCCTGTGCTGCCCGTGCCTGTGCTGCCCGTGCCTGTGTGCTGCCCGTGGCCCGTGTGTGCTGCCCGTGCCTGTGCTGCCCGTGCCTGTGCTGCCCGTGCCTGTGCTGCCCGTGCCTGTGCTGCCCTGTGCCTGTTGCTGCCCGTGCCTGTGCTGCCGTGCCTGTGCTGCCCGTGCCTGTGCTGCCCGTGCCTGTTGCTGCCCGTGGCCTGTGCTGCCCGTGCCTGTGCTGCCCGTGCCTGTGCTGCCCGTGCCTGTTGCTGCCCGTGCCTGTGCTGCCCGTGCCTGTTGCTGCCCGTGCCTGTGCTGGCCCGTGCCTGTGCTGCCCGTGGCTGTGCTGGCCGTGCCTGTGCTGTCCGTGCCTGTTGCTGCCCGTGCCTGTGCTGCCCGTGCCTGTGCTGCCCGTGCCTGTGCTGCCCGTGCCTGTTGCTGCCCGTGCCTGTGCTGCCCGTGCCTGTTGCTGCCCGTGCCTGTGCTGCCCGTGCCTGTGCTGCCCGTGCCTGTGCTGCCCGTGCCTGTGCTCTGCCCGTGCCTGTGCTGCCCGTGCCTGTGCTGCCTGCCCGTGCCTGTGCTGCCCGTGCCTGTTGCTGCCCGTGCCTGTGCTGCCCGTGCCTGTGCTGCCCGTGCCTGTGCTGCCCGTGCCTGTTGCTGCCCGTGC